TCAAAGGAGCAGCCCAAAACTCACACCCCAAAAATGTCACATTTCCGGCGAGTGAGCCCGCCGCCGCCGCCTGTTTCCGTTGCCGCAGCCAGCCGCCTATCATGTGTCTTCGGCCTCAGCCTTCCACCATCTCGCCGCCCACCCGTTCGTCGTCCTCTGCCCGACTCTCATTTCAGCGGGTTGGTGTCGCCGGTCACTGCGAGTTCCCAGCCGCCCCCGTCGGCCTTCCTCCATCTTTCACGACGTCAACTCACCTCCGTTCGGCCGCGCCGGATGACATTTTGACGAGGTTAAACACGCCGGAGCTCTCTGGAGGCGTACGACCGGATGACAGTGATTTACGTTTGCAGCGGTGGGCTGTGGCCGCGCCAGGCAGTGGCTTCGGAGGCGGTTATGGTGGCGGCGGTTTGCTGTGCGTAGGCACCTGTGAGGTATGGCTCCGGCGGCTCCATTGGTGGCGGCCTCCGGCGGCTCTATTGGTGGTGGTCTCCGGCGGCTCGATTGGTCGCGGACTCCGGTGGCTCTATTGGTGGCTGCCGCCGTTTGTGGTGCCTATGTGTGTGTGTGTGGTGCTTGTGTGTGTGTGTATATTTTGCAGATTTGAGATATGAAACTTAATTGCCAGAAGTGAGGAAGAAAGGTGCGATGAGAGAGAAAAATATGGTTAATTGGTATGAGGGTTCTACATAATATAATATATGTGTATTGACCAAGTTACCCTTAATTATTGATCAATGTACATATTTAATCACATTATGATCAAATAACTACTAAATTGCCATTAATGATTGACCATAGTTTGACTTCATCATCACCATTGATATAGTTGATCACATGGTCCAAGTTCATTCTTATTTCTTTCACCATAAGTCATTCTCATATAATCCTAACTCTTTATTATATACATATATATATATATACATATATATATATGTTTATATGAACCAACCCTTTATCATACATACCCATAAATGTCTCTTTTAACTTAACCAAAGGTTAGTGTAAGTTGGGATGGCACAGATGGGATCATTGTGTTGGATCATGTACCTACAGATGATCAGCTTGCTGACATTTTTACAAAGGCACTTGATTCGAAATGCTTTTTGTCACTAATGAAATCCTTAGGAATGTGTGTTATATAATATCTATGCATGAGCGTCAGCTGCAGTTGTATGTATATATATATATATATTAGTGTCGCATATTAGAAATTCTCTGCATTTAGGCATTGTAGTATGTAGGTTCATCCCAAGAAGCTTCCTTGAATAATTTATCATTGGACTCATTGATTGATGTTCTATGGATTCGAACTTGTCAGTTTGTGATAGCTTGTCATAATGATCAATAAAAATACTTGTAAAAGCTGCTCTCGTGAAAGTATGCATCGGGCAACTATCACATGAGGTGTTTCCATGATCACCTGTGAAACAAGTTACATGCTTAGCAATAATCGAGGTGTGATAGCTATAGATAGTCATTCTTGTAGAATGCAAGTTCAGTGGTGTAATAAGGTTGGTCACCTTACACTCCTTCTCAGTATGTTCTAAAAATCTTTTTGCGGGATGATACACACCTCAAGCAATGGGTTTGACATTGGCGTATAGTTGATGTTAGTAAGTGAATTGGTGTGGAAGTTCGTAGAACGAAGTAAGTTTATCATAAGTATTGGGGTTGAATTGCGAACGAAAATTTCGTTCTTTGCTAAGAGAAAATGGTGAATGAACTCATTAATTCTGTGTTATATAAAAGTTGGAGTTATAAGGACTGAGCTGGTTTTGGGTCTCTCTCCATTTTGATAGTGTCGAGCTCTTTACAAACTGATTAAGAAAGATTCTTGATTTACTCGGTTAATATATCCCTCAATATTGCATGATTGGAAGTATTTTGGTTAGTGATAAATAATATATTTAGGCATGGGCATAAAATTTTCTTGTGATTGATTGGGTCTCGAAATAGTGCTAAATTATTTTTGGTACTAAAATCTGACCATGATTCTCTCTGAAACTTCATCTTGCATATATTTGGTAGTTTATGTCGAGAATTTTAGGTAAGTGAATATTTTATTTTGGAGGAAACGATTTATTTCGTGCATTAAGTGTTGGGCAAGTTTTGAAATTCAAATTGAAAAGCTAAACCGTCTTATGGTAACTTGCCTCGATAACCGAAATTCCTTTCCCCTATATCTATCATATCACCTTCTCTCATCTCTCTCATATCTATCAAATCTCTAATTTTTCTCATCTCTCTAAAAATTATCTCACATTCTTTACCTGAGCCTTCTACTGCTGTTGTTTCTGGCTCAAAGTCTGGTAATGAGTCATTCCCTGACTCCGGTGATGATGGTGACTCCGCCGAAAAGAAAATTGCAAAATACGTCGATGAACCAGAAAATTCTGAAAATAATATTGCTGCTAGAAGGGAACCTTCCCCTTGTATTGATAAAAGGGTCTCTGACGATGCAGAGGGTGATGGTCCTGATAGCCCCCTTTCGGTTGGTAACACTTTTTCTCGCCAGTTTTACTCTCCTCTGTCTGAATCTCAATTTGCAAGTATACTCAAATGAAATTTAGGCCAGAAAGAACGATTGTTGTTGAACACTTTGAAAAGCTTGGTTTAATTGATCTCTTACGAAAGGTTGGTCTTTAGAATTCTGTGGTGAATGTTGGGAAGTATTGCCCACAACTAGTTGGTGAGTTTTACTCAAATCTGTCTGTCTCCACTTCTGATTCCACATCAATGAAGTTTCAACGTGTGTTTGTGAGAAACATAATAGTTGAGTTCTCACCGTCTGCTATCAATTTTGTGCTTTGGCTGGGTGAAGGTTCATCTTTATCTCTTTTGTCCGATGATCTAGATGCGGTTGCGAATACATTGACTGGAGAGAAGCTGAGCAAGTGGCTTGCTTCGGGGCTTTTTGTGAAGAGTCTCACACCTCAAGCTAACGCCCTACAGAAAATTGGTGCATGGAATTGGACTCCGACGTCACATAAGCAGTTTGTTACCCCTACACAAGCACGGGTCATTTTTCGTATTCTTAGCGACATTCCTTTTGATCTTGGATCCGTCATCTTTGATACTATGGTATCCTTTGGTGAAGTCTAAAAACCCCACAAGTTTCTGCTCTTCCCTTCTACCATCTATGCCATTTTACTCAAGGCGAGAGTTAAAATGGACCCTCGTGTCGGTGATGGTTTGTCTCCTTCTCTTAAGCCCCTTGCTCTTGTTGGTGTAAAGACTGCTTCTCTTCGCCCCTCATTGGTGAAAGCTTCTGAAGTTCCTTCACAGCTACACGGGTTCTTGAACCAACAGGTTGCAGTTCTTTCTGGGCTTGAGAAGAAACTGGCTGATCAATGAAGGTACTATAAGGAAGTGTTGGGTGCATTGAAGTCACGGGCTCCTTTGGTATCTAAATCTAAAAATGGAGAGAGAGCTAAAGGGGAAAAGAAGAAGGTGTCTGGAACTAAGGGGGAGAAGTCCAATGCTGCTGCTACCAAGGACAAAGGAAAAGAAAAAGTTGCTGATGTTGCTGTCAAGGGAAAGGAGAAGGCTCTGAAGCAAGAAGAAGGTTTAGATGATGAAGAATTTGAGGAGGGCTCTGATGCTGAAAAGGAGGAAGAAGAGGTTGCTTCAGAGGAAGAGACGGAAGCTAGTTCTTAGGAAGGTTCGGCTGAAGAAGAGTCTGAGGATGAAGGGTCTGCTTAGACCTTCAACTGGATATTTGAATATGTTGTGTTAAACTAAAACTATTTGATCTGGTTGTGGTTGTTTGAACTCTTTTTCTTTATTTTCTTTTGCTTATGTGTAGTGAAATCTTTAATAACCTGTGAACTGTTCTGAATTATTCAGGTATTTGAGTTGTTCATGTGAACAACACATTTGGGATGTGATAAGTATATCTTAGGTTAAGTATATATGTTGCAGGAAATGTTCTTTTTGTTTGCGAGCAGGTTCAAGGAGGTATTTTCAATTTATCTGCCAAACGGGGAGATTGTAAGTTTTAAAGATTGGCAGTAAATCGAAGAACCTTCACAAGTTCCCAGGATTTCAGTCAAATGCGAGAATATCTAAGGGAAGTTGATTTGAATCACTTGAATGTATTTCTAATTGGAGTTTGATATAGGATATTATACCTACAAGCCTAAACCGGTCTGCTGAACCGGTCGAAGAGGCCATACCTTGGAGAAACCAAGCCGAGTGGCGGGGAAATCCACCAGCCAACTAGTCAACCGGTCAAGTAGTCGACAAAAAACATCACTCAACCAGGAAGATGATCGAGTAGTTTTGTCGACCTCGACAGGTCGACCACTCCGTGAACTTAGCACTCCATAAATCGGCCTAGTCACAAGCGCGTGAAAGTGCCTCCAACAGAATTTCAGGAGAATATTCATCCCATGTACAAGAGGACACGTGTCGAGAACTTATTGGTTGATAGCGACAACCACCTCTGACAGCTCCCAATGTCCCGCGCCACCTCTGACATGTGCGCGGCGTGTCAGAGTACGGACGAGCAGCTTGGGCAACCAACTCATCAAATCCGGGCAGCCTTAGGTTAGGTATTTCACTCCTATATAAAGGGGTGAGCCTTTCTTCCTAAGACACGACTTTTCCATTATTCAACTCGAGTATACTCATACACATACTGACTTAAGCATCGGAGGCTCTTCACTAGACACAACCCCCAGTGTGAGAGTTATTTGCAGGTTTCCGGCATTCTACCGGTGAAGGCGAGGCTCGATCTATCCCAAACTGGACCAAGATGCTCACACTTGCATTATTGGCGCCGTCTCTGGGACTTTCGTTTTAGAAGTTGTGTTTGAAGCTCGACTATGGCAGACGGAATTCCCAAAAACTTGCAGTCGACGTTCGACGATGACCAGGCCGATTGGACAAGGCCCTCCTACGGGTTTTTTTGGCCCTTCACAAACGCCGATCATTCCTACCCCCGTCCTTCATGGTGTGGGAGCGTCGATGGCGATCCCCGGAGGAGATGCCAGCTCCAGTCGTGCCCAGAAAGCTCGCGCAGCAACTGCGGCAGCGATGCGACCGCCGCCGCCCCAAAACCCAGTGGTGGCGAAGCCAGGAGGACCGGTGGTGCAAGGAGGACTGGTGGCACAAGGAGGAGTGTCGCCGCAGGCAGTTTTGCAAGCTCCTGGTCAACAGGTGGTGACTATGACCAGGGAGGAGATGCAGAGGATAGCGGCGGCCGCGGCGGCGCAGGCGGTGCAGCAAGTCACAAGTCACACATCTCACGCCACAACCGCGCCGACCACGGTGGCAGGAAGTCAAGACGAGGATGTGTCCAGTTATGGAGATGGAGGAGGCGGAAGAGATCGTGCAATGGAGAGGATGGCGGCGCAGTTGCGCCAGTTACAGGACAAGGTCGAGGGGAGGCCGGAGAGGAGAACTCGAGGACACCCTTTCTCAAGGGACATTCTCGCGGCCCCTTTGCCAAATAATTTCAAGGAGACTAATTTGGTGTATGACGGGTCATCTGACCCATCGAGGTATGTGAGGACCTTTGAAAATATGGCTGTGTTACATGGATATTCCGATTCTGTATGTTGCAGGGCATTCTTATCGACCTTGCGCGGAGGAGCACTTGATTGGTTTCATCAGTTACCCCCTGGATCGATCGCAGACTTTGAGGATTTTGCCAGCAAACTTGCCAATCAATATTCGAGCGCGGTGGCGCATGAGAAGATATATCTGACCCTGGTGGCCATGAGACAGGGGAAGAAGGAATCGTTGAGGAAGTATATGGCTCGATACAATCAGACATGCTTGGAGGTGCAGTCGGCGTCGGATGAGGTGAAGGCAGGAGGATTGATAAGGAGTCTTCGAGCAGGGCCTTGCCGAACCTCCTTGGCAAAGACCCCTGCTCGATCATATGAGGATGTTATGAAGTGATGTAGAAAGTATATTAATCTGGAAGAGATGGAGGTGGAATTTGCGAAATTGGAGGGGGCAGCTCGACCAGAGCCAAAAAAGGAGAAGAGCCCACAAAGGGGGAGGTCGCCGAGGATAAGTTCGCCCAAAAGGAGTGGGTCGAAAAGAGCATCGCCTAGGAGGGAAGGTCGAGACTCGAAACTGGCGAAAAGGGATGATAGGTGGCAGGGGAGACCATTGTCGTTTGAAAGACAGAGGTACCATAATTTTAAACCTTTAAGAAAAGATTTGACAGAAGTGCTCGAGGCGATGGAGCAAAAGATGTCGAGCGAGGATGTGACATGGCTAAAGACGAGGTTTACAGGACCGATTCGACCCATGTCAGATATCCACTGCCACTTTCATCGAGACTACGGTCATACCACAGAGAATTGCAGGCATTTGAAGGATGAGATTGAGAGGTTGATTCGAGCGGGGCATTTGAAAGAGTTTGTGTATAATGATAGGGTGAAGGGGAAAGGAAGGAGGAGATATCGGGAGGATTCGGAGGAGATGAGTTACAGAGATGAGGAGGGAGATGATAGAGATGGTCGAGATGGTCGAGGGAAGAAGCCGAGAAGAGATGCAGATAAGGGAGGACGGGGAGGTGAAGCCCCTATGAAGAGAGGGACGATTTATATGATCTCCAGAGGGCCGACGGATGGTGACTCGAATAACGCCAGGAAGGAGCATGCTCGAGCTGTAAAGAGGAAGAGAGAGGAGGTTGGGATTACAGCTCGCATGCCGGTGATAAGATTTAAGGCAGAGGATGCTGAAGGATTGGTGTTACCACACAATGATGCTTTGGTAATTACTGCGGAGGTTGCGGGTTTTGATGTGAAGAGGGTGTTTATTGATACCGGGAGTTCGGTAGATGTAATGTTCTATGATTGTTTTTCGCAGATCAACAATGAGCTGAATATGGAGTTGAAGCCGAGGGCCACGGCTCTCTATGGTTTTTATGGAGGAGAGGTGATGTCGATGGGCGAGGTGATTTTTCGGTGGCATTGGGAGCAGGAGAGACGAGGAAGGTGCGGATGGTAAGGTTTGTGGTAGTGGAAGCTGAATCATTTTACAACATCATTATAGGGAAGACGAGCTTGAACGCATTCCAGGCAGTCGTATCAACGTACCATATGACGATCAAGTATCCAGCGGGCGAAAGCGTTGGTGAGATCGCAGGGGATATAGCTTACTTCGAGGAGTTGCTATCAAACAACGGTAAGCAAAAACAAACAGTTGGTGAAGTAGCAGACTGGTCCAAAGGAAGAAGAAGTTAGTCGACCAGGAGGGTCGAGATCGAAGGAGGACAGACAAAGGTTGGAGAAGGGAAAGAAGAAGGTAGACATCCAGCCAGGAGGGGAGGTCGAAGAGGTCTAGATGGTCGAAGGGTATGAGGAGAGGAAGTTTAGAACCGGGAAGGACTTGGAGGAGCCCATTAGGTCGAGGTTAATCAGTCTGGTAAGGGAGTTCGCTGATATCTTCGCTTATACAGCAGAGGAACTGACAGGAATAAGCGCGGAGGTGATTGAGCACCGTCTGAATATCGACCTCAGTGTGAGGCTAGTGAAGCAAAAAAGAAGGCATCATGGAGCGAAGATGGATCGAATTATTGAGCAGGAAGTGGAGAAGTTGCTGGGGGTTGGACACATCAATGAGATCCAAATCCCGGAATGGCTATCAAATACAGTGATGATGTCTAAAGCCGAAGGGAAATGGAGAATGTGCATAGATTTCCAGGACCTGAACAAAGCATGCCCGAAGGATCTGTACCTGCTGTCCAGGATCGACCAGCTGGTCGACTCAACTACGGGATGTGAGTTGCTGAGCTTAATGGATGCTTCGCAGGGATACCATCAAATTCCCTTAGGGAGAGAAGATAGAAAGCGGGTGAGTTTCGTAACAAGTCGAGGAACCTATTGTTACGTGGAGATGCTGTTCGGCCTGAAAAATGCGGGCGCCACATATCAAAGGTTGGTCGACAAAATTTTCAAAGAGCAGCTGGGAAGGAATATGGAAGTATATGTGGATAATATGTTGGTGAAAATTAAGAAGGAGATGGATCATGTGCGGGACCTGAAGGAGACGTTTTTAACATTGAGGAGGTATGGGATGAAGTTGAATCCTGCCAAGTGCTCGTTCAGGGTGAAAGTCAGGAAAATTCTTGGGTTACTTGGTGACCAAGAGAGGTATCGAGGTGAATCCGGAGAAGGTGCGGGCGGTGATGGAGATGAAGTCGCCGACGAATATTAAGGAGGTACAAATCTTGGCTGGTCGAATTGCGGGGCTGAGTCGTTTTATATCGAAGGTGGCGGAGAGGAGTGGCCCATTATTTAAAACACTGAAGAAAAGCGCGAAGTTCCAGTGGATGATGGAGGCTCAAAGGGCATTTGAGGAGTTACAAGAATTGCTAGCCAACCTCCCCTTATTGGCCAAACCGGTGCAAGGCGAGGATTTAATGCCATACCTTTCCATCGGGGAGAGGGCGGTGAGTTCAGTGTTTCTGCGAGAAGAAGGGGTAGCCCAGTTCCCTATCTATTACGTGAGCAGGGTGATGCATGGAGCAAAGATGAGGTACTCGGAGATTGAGAAGTATGCTCTAGCAGTAGTTGTAACTGCTCGAAAGATGAGGCCTCATTTCTTGAATCATAAGGTGAATGTGAGAACGAACATGGCGTTGGGAGAAACACTTGGCCGACCATCAGTTTCTGGTCGATTGGTAAAATGGGCGGTCGAGTTGAGTGGATACTCATTGTTGTATGAGCCGAGGAGGGCTATAAAAGCGCAAGTGTTAGCAGATTTTATTCAGGAAGGCACGAGAGTCGAGGAGGAGTCTGGCAGTTGTTCGTAGATGGATCTGTAGCGAGAAGTGGGGCCGGATTAGAAATTGTCCTTGTCTCCCCTAAGGGCGATTACTTGGAGTTTGCAGCCAAAGTGGGGTTTAAGATATACAATAATGAAGCTGAATATGCGGCGGTGATTAAAGGTTTGCGGTTAGCCAAGGCGGAAAGAGCCCGAAAAGTGCAAGTGCATTCCGATTCTCAATTGTTGGTTGGGCAGTTTCAGGAAGGGTTTGAAGTTAAGAAGGACCGGATGCAGAGGTATGTGGACAAAATGAAGAAGTTGAAAGAGGAGTTTGATTCATTCGAGCTAATACAGATCCCTCAAGCAGAGAATGGTCGAGCAGACTTGTTGTCGAAAATTGCTCAAAGCTTGGTGGATTGTAAAAGCAGAAGTGTGACTCTATTACATTTAGAGAGAAGTGTGGTCGAGGCGGAAGTGGTGGAGATTGAGGAAGTGGAGGATTGGAGGGCCCCGATCTTAGAGGAGTTGAAGGAGGGGGCGATAAAGGCAGTGAGAAGATTTTTTGAGCATGGGGGCATTCTCTACAAGCGTTCATATACTGGACCGCATTTACGCTGTGTGACTAAGGAAGAAGGTCAATACGTGCTGAGAGAAGTGCACGAAGGATTCTGTAGTAACCACAGCAAGTCGGGAGCCTTGGTTGCAAAAATTCTGAGAGCGGGATACTTTTGGCCGACGATGAAAGAGGATGCGAAGGCGATGGTGAGAAAATGTTTACAATTCCAGAAGCATGGCCCGCTTACCTATCAACCGGCAGAGGCGATGACAATGATGAGTGCTTCTATACCATTTGCCCAGTGGGGAATCGACCTGGTGGGGCCGATGCCATAAGGAACTGGGCAGAGAAAATTCCTGATCGTGGCGGTAGACTATTTCACAAAGTGGGTGGAGGCCAAGCCCTTTGCAAAGATCACGGAGGAGAAAGTCATCAAATTTTTATATAACAATATTTGCTGCAGGTTTGGAGTGCCCAAAGTGTTGATATCCGACAATGGAACTCAATTCAATGGCAAGAGCATTCGAGCATGGTGTGAGGATATGAAGATCGAGCAACACTTTGCCTCTGTCTCTCATCCGCAAGCCAATGGCCAAGTCTAGGTGACCAACCGAATTATACTGAACGGGCTGAAAACAAGGCTAGAAAAGGCCTCAGGGGCGTGGGTCGATGAGCAAACTTCAGTACTCCGGGCGTACCGCACAACCCCGAGGTCGACAACAGGAGAAACCCCCTTCAATATTCTATGGGATGGAAGCACTGCTGCCAGTGGAGGTCGAGCTGTCATCGCAAAGATCGAGCACATATGACCCAGAGCAAAATAAAGATCTAATGATGGCGGCCTTAGACACCATTGAAGAGCTGTGCGAAAGAGCAGCGATTCGAGTAGAGGCATACAAACAAAGGATGCCAGCAACTCATGACATGAAGGTGAAAGTCCGCAGACTCCAAGTGGGTGACTTGGTTTGGAAACGCGTGGATGTGCTCAAACACGTGGGAAAGCTGGAGC